TCAACCTGCTCCTCTACCAAACGCGTCTCAGCAAAAGGCAAACGCCTTGGTCTGGCAAATATCGGGGTCTCGTCCTTCAGGATAATGCGCATCTCGATTTTGGTGGTCTTCAGGTGAAGTGGTTTGTAGTTGCTTGTGATTTTGCGGACTTCGTTGTTATTCACTGCGACGTCGATTTTCATAACGTTTATAAAATCACTTTCTTCTACCTAACTCGGCATCTTACGCACTTGCAAACCGTCGCGATTGAAAATAATTGCAGCATGCAAACAAGTTTCTTCGCCGACAATCAATTGGAAATCCATGCAACCGATGGGAACAACGTAGAAATCCAACTCGAACTCGTTATTGTCGATAAGAACGGTCTCTCTGAAATGTCCAATTGGATTTATTTTGTTTGCGTCGCGCTCGCTACCGAAACCAATTAGAGCCACACTACAGTTTTGCAGTCTCGGACGTCGTAAACCGTTATAGGGATCCTCGCGAACCAAGTTGAATTTGCTTCCGGTGTCGAACAGAGCTACGCACTTTTCGTTAGCGAGAACAACTTCTTTGCTTGTTAAATTACTTTTATACCGCACTCGATGGGTGTTCACTTTGTTGCTCTCGGTTTTTTCGTTTTCTTTACAATTACGCGAAATATGTCCATACTGGTTACACTTGAAACATTTAGTGCCGCGCTCTTTGTTCTTGCAATTATTGGACAGGTGTCCTTTTTCGCCACAATTATAACAAGAAACCTCTTTTTTAAAATTCTTGTTAGGTGTTGCCACTTTCTTGCTATAAAGCACATCGCCGTTTCGCTTTGGCTTACCACGGTCGTACCCTTTTTCTCGCTCATTTTTAATGACATAACATTTCAGCTTCTCTTTGAATTCAGTAATATTTCGGGCACCGTATAGGAGAGTTTTGTCAATTGAGTAATCGTCTATGCCATCAATTACGTACTGTATCAAAACCGAATCACAAATGTATCCACAAATTGCCAGATCCTTCATTCGGTACAAGTATGCGAAACAACACTCGCCCTTTGCGCGTTTGCTTTTGCTCAACTGCTCGTGGATTTGTTTGCTGTTCACAATGCATTTTTTTGCATTTTTTTCTGAATGCACAACATCTTGAGAATATTGTGTTAAAGTTTTAGATCGATCCGAGTAAAGCTTCCGAACTTATGGGCAGTTGAACGTAGGTAAGTTAGCTCGTTTTGTATGGGTGTCCAAAACTTTAAAACGCTTTCCTGAAAAGTTACCCTTTTCAAAGTCGGTGTACACGATCCCGCAAAATCTATTGGACGGATCGTTTCGAAATTTTGCACAGTGGTTCTCAACTAAATTCCTCAGGTAACGCTGTCAAGTTTTTGTTTTTGAAAATTTATTATTTTTAGAGCATTAAGTATCTCGACGTCTTAGGCGTAAATCGGTGTTTTTGACTTTCAAGTGCCTTAAAAAATCGAAAAAAAAATACAATAAACAAGAAAGGAAAGCTAACTTCGGACGGAGCCGAAGTTGATATACCCTTGCAGAATATTCTGTAAATTATATTCTTCAAAATTATTCATATGGTGTATTCTTAATACTCATAAAAAGTCTCAACTTCCTAACTTTAAAAACACCAAAGTTATGGCATTTCCAATCGTTCAGTTATATGGCAGCTATAGGATATAGTCGGCCGATCCTTATGTAATTTGGTAGGTCGGATTGATTGGCCAAAAATAAAACCCATAGAAAATCCCAACTTGATAACTTTAAAAACACCAAAGTTATGGCATTTCCAATCGTTCAGTTATATGGCAGCTATAGGATATAGTCGGCCGATCCTTATGAAATTTAGTAGGTCGGATTGATTGGCCAAAAATAAAACTCATAGAAAATCCCAACTTCCTAACTTTAAAAACACCAAAGTTATGGCATTTCCGATCGTTCAGTTATATGGCAGCTATATGATATAGTCGCCCGATCCGGCTCGTTCCGACTTATATACTACCTGCAATAGAAAGACAACTTTTGGGAAAGTTTCAAGCAGATAGCTTTAAAACTGAGGGACTAGTTTGCGTAGAAACGGACGGACGGACAGACGGACAGACGGACGGACAGACGGACGGACAGACGGACAGACGGACATGGCTAGATCGACTCTTCTGGTGATGCTGATCAAGAATATATATACTTTATAGGGTCGGAAATGTCTCCTTCACTGCGTTGCAAACTTTTGACTGAAATTATAATACCCTCTGCAAGGGTATAAAAATAAAACTCGACAGCGTTACCTGAGGAATCTTGTTCTTTAACTAATGCAATTGGATTTTTTCATTTCGGATGATTCTGTGACCGGTTATCGTGTACACCGCAAAACATCTTTTCTTCGAGGCGCCGCCGGAGATTGAATGTATTTCAGTCAATTTTTAATATTTTTGGAAGAAAAAAATCAAACATTTAAACAATATGTTGCCCAATCGCATGCAAAAAACAAAATTGAGCTGAGACTATCCGTATCGCCAATAAAAATTTTTAAAAAATGTCAGATTTTTCTCCGAATTAACTATACCTCCCACCTTAACCACGACTCGACGGAAATTGAGTTAGTACCGTCAAAGGTGCGAATCGAATCTTCTATGTCGCGAAAACTAAAAGAAAATCTTGGTGATGCCACTTCGTTGCCAAGTTTTGACGACTTCTCTTTCTCTGCATTTTTGGCAAAATTAGGCGCATTTTGCATTTCGTTTTGTTCCGCTTACAAATACATCGTCATTTTCATCTTCGTCGTCTGAGGAATCAATTTGATTGTGTGCGAGGAGTTTATTTTGCATCCAATTGCGAAATATGTGGAGTCCGACGTCGTCTACGTTGTAGGTTATGTTCAACACATTGCAAATTGAAGCCAGATCGTTTAGATTTTCCTGCACATACCTTTCCTTCGCTAAGTAATTTTCCGAGCTTTCGTCGAAATCGATTTCGTTTAGATTTTCCTGCACATACCTTTCCTTCGCTAAGTAATTTTCCGAGCTTTCGTCGAAATCGAAACCGGAAAAATTTCGAAGTCGTTGGCGGTTGCTTCTATCACCCTCGCTCTCAAACACGTACTTGTGAAGGGCTACAATGTTCTCCCTCTTGCTATTGCGCAAATTTTCACTTATGAAGGTATTTAAACAACTTATGCTGGTGAAAAATTATGTGTGTAATGTCGTCTTTTCGCAATTTTTTTTTTTTACGTCTTCGTTTTTTGCTAGTTCACATCGCACTTTACATCTTTTACTTATTCCCGGATGAGCTCCCAAATGTGGGATTTTAAAGTTAATTAGTTAACTATTTAAGTTTATTTGTAGTTTAGATTTAGTTAAGTATAATATAAAGAAATTAACATTGGTAAATTAAATTGGAATTTCACTCGTCTTTTGGCCAACGTCTTAGGACCGTTCTCTTCAAAGGCTCAAACTCAACTCCCTCGTTTCTCGTCGTCTTCCCGTCGTCTTCTCGTCGTTCGTCTTTTATCTCTCTTACTTCTCGTCTTTTTTCTTTACTTCTTCATATCGTCCTTGCATTTCGTCGTTCGTCTCGATCAGCTCAAAAAGGTTGTTGTCTAGGGTAAACTTATTGTGGAATGATTGCTACCCAAAGCAGACACACCCCCCATATATTCTTGATCAGGATCGCGTCCTGAGTTGATATAAGCATGTCCGTCTGTCTGTCTGTCCGTCTATCTCTTTCTACGCGAACTAGTCTATCAGTTTTAAAGATATCGAATTGAAACTTTGCACACACCCTTCGTTCCTTTGCACGCAGTATATAAGTCGGAACGGGGTTCGGCCGACTATGTCCTATAGCTGCCATATAACTGAACGATCGGAAATGCCAAAACTTTGGTGTTTTTAAAGTTAGGAAGTTTTGATTATCTATGGGTTTTATTTTTGGCCAATCAATCCGACCTACCAAATTTCATAAGGATCGTCTGACTATATGCTATGGCTGACATTTAACTGAACGATTGGAAATGTTTTTAAAGTTAAGAAGTTCGGATTTTTTATGAGCATTAAGAATGCATCATATGAATAATATACAGAATACAGAATATTCTGCACGGGTATATCAACTTCGGCCCCGCCCGAAGTTAGCTTTCTTTTCATGTTTTTCATATTTTTGTTAGAGCCTGACTAACGTTTGTCCAGAGTTCATTTCATGTGTTCGGCAACGCCATGTAATTTTCTGGTATTTTTTTCGTCGATCTGAGTAATGTGGTGTAATAAAAAGGGGCTGACGAAAAGAGTTCGCCAGCTGTTTACCTCTCGCTCTCTCTGGGAGAACAGATTTCGTCAATCTGAATTCTAGGCAGACAAACAAGCTTTTTTTGACACCATTTGAAGTTTGGACACTTATATCCCCTACATTTCGTTGAAAAATTTTTACCAAAATTGTATGAAATACAACACAAAATTTTTTAAGGTTATACGTCTTACTTCAAACCTAGTAATCAGATCGAAAAACGAGTTCGGTTGCGAAAAAACTTTAATCTTCCCAGTGTAACAGTTAGGTTTGTTTACAAGCAGCTAAAATTCAAAAATCTTATTTGCGGGAACGAGCCTTTAAAAGATATTCTCAACTACTTTGGCAAGACAAGTCTGCCGCTGTACAACAAAAATAAAAAACAGTACTATTTAAAATGAACAGTTCATAGCTGCTCTAAGTGTTTGCAGGGGATTTTTCTAAGTTTTTTTTTGTGCTTTTCCTTGCATTTTTGACCTAAGAAACACTTTGCTCTGACAACAAACATTCCAAAAGTCGATCTTCGCGATGTAATTTTCTGGTATTTTTTCGTCGATCTGAGTACCGAGCTGAAAATAGGGCCAGACGAAAAGTGTTCGCCAGCTGTTTGCTGATAGCTAACGAACATATTTTGTCGAACTGAGTACTAGTCTTTACTACTTTACAACCTTCAAATAAGATTGAATTCGGTGACTTATCCTCCCCACTTAGTATCTTTTAATCAAAAATAAAGTCGTTACGGCATAAGTTAAAAATAATTTATTATAAAATATTAATTAAATGAGTGTTCTGTTTTTAACTTGCAACTGTACCATTTACAAAATATTTTATCTCTATGCAACAGCTAGTACTCCAAGTTTTGTAAATATTCCGAGTATAATTTAGATTTGGTACTTTCACATAAATTAATATAAAAAGATAAATTTTTGTAATACAGATGATTTGTTGGTGTTTGTTTTTTTAAATATTCTTTCACCAGCACAAATGTCTTTTATAAATGTAATCAAGTAATTGCAAACAATTTTCAATTATTTAAAGTGCACAGCGAATTGATTAACGAAATCTCACGTAGATAAGGCTATCTTATTAAACAACTTCGGAGAGGCGCTTTTAATGAAGGAACACTAATTTATATTAGCCTTGTTCGCTATTCACAGCGATATCTCATCCCCAGGTTAACTTTTGAATTTGTGACACCTTGTGACAGATTTTAACTCTATATAATATAAAGTTATATCAAAGAGCTCCACCACGAGAATTTTAGTTGGGACTAGTTAAGGATTAATTCAACAAGGAATTTCTAAGCATATATATGGTTTTGTTATGTGTGAGTGTACGAGTATGCTGTGAGTGTAATTTAAAATACATTTATAACTAGAGAGCATGTCTTGCTATTCCCAGTAAGCACTATTTAGCTTTTGTTGTTAGCGCCAGTATTAACAGAGCTATCGCCGATCGTTTCCGTTGAATCAATGGTGCCATCGAAATCTTGTTGATTTGATTGGGCTGCCGCGGCCATAGCCTCACGACGCTGACGTTTCATCTCAAGCAACTGTTTTCTCTGGGTCTCGCGCTTTAATGCCGCGGCCGAATCCGGCGGAGGAGCCTTTGAGCCGTTGATATTAGAGTTACGGGTTTTTCCGGCCGATTTTGCTTGCAAAACTCCAATCTTTGCGGATTTAATCTTATTTGATACCGGGTCCATCTTGGTTGGCTCATCTAAGCGCTGTGTAAAATACAAGTTAAGTATTATTTCAAGTTTCAATTAGACTCTCGAACACCAACCTTCCAATCGTTTGCTTTGAGCTGTTCAATATCATTAAAAATAGAGTCAACGTGTTCCACCTGCAAATAAACCATGTCCCAGAATCCTTGTAAATCATCCGCGGTTGTTGGATACTCATCCTTCGGCGAGCGATTTACGTTGTTGTGGCAAAGGCCTGAAATAGGAAAATAATTAGAACGAACCTGATACTATTCATTGTTTCACGCTTACCCTCGAACTGTTTCATTTTCTGTGATACCAAAAGACGAGCTTTACCCGAAGCTGATCGCAGTAGTCCAAAGGTATCCTCAGATATATCCAAATTTGTCTAGAAATTTGATGTTGAAAATAATAATAACTAATCGATCGATCGATTTATAAACAGGAAGGATATCCTGAACAGAAAATAGTTTACTTACAGACAAGGCATCTGCATATTTGTCAGCAAGAGCGGCCAGCGCCAACAGACGAATTTGTTCCTCTTTCAGAATTTGAAGAAAGTAGTTTCCGTCCTTAACAGTTGATGCAAGGAGAATTTTGGTAGTGCTGATGTATTCCTCTGAGGTCAAATCAATCAGTTTCGGAGTCTCATGGTCGACTACATCTAGGCTAGAATCTGGCATTGACTGCGTCTCGCCATTCGTAAGCTGCACCTCCGGGGCGTTGGAGAATCGATTGGCACCCCTTTTGGGTGATACCATAGGCAACTGGGCTCGGAACTCGTGGCTAAGGTGCCTAAAAACGGGCAGGTCCACATCTCCACTTTTAATTGAAATAGGAAAAGGGTCGGCCAACCGCGCCGTTGCACTCTGTGAATAGTTATTGTTCAGTTTTTTCCGGAACTCCCCATAGTCTTTACTAGGCGAAAGCTGTTTGAATTTCCGAACCAATTCCGAACCCTGCTGTGACTCGACTGAGAGCTGTTGCCTTGCCGACCGCTCCAATGCCAGTGATGAGGAAATACTATGCTTCTTGGGGCTGTAGAAACCCTGGGCTAAGGCACCCGGCCCGTAAAGTCTCTCCACTCGCTGCTTTATAAAGCTCCCATTTTCATTGGCGTGTCCAGGATCCGTTCCGATATCCAAGTTATGACCATTGCTGTTGTTGTTGGCCCCAATTGGATTGCACTTGCTGGCCGGAGAGGGCATGCTGTGCAGGACTGGAGCCGCTAATGAGTGGCTGCGCTTGCAGTACTGCAGACTGCTGGTAGAGGGACGAATCGGCGATACCTCGCGTGACTTGTTTATATCCTGGCGGATCTTAGAGTCATATGTGGTCAGGTTGGAGTAGCCGTTGACACAGCAGGCCAGGTTCAAATAGCTGAGCTTCTTTTCGGCAGCAGTGGCTTCTGGCGAATTCCCATCGGCAGCCACGACAGCGACATCGGCGCTCGGTTCCCGGGCGGACTCCACGACGACAGGCGATAGCACCATCCGCACCAGCCCCGTCGACCCGGGATCTACGTAGGCGGAGGTAACGTGCGGCTGCGGCGACCGAAGTGCACAGCGCTCCCGGAGGTTTGCGGTAAATTCGCGAGTTATGTCCTTCACGGAGAGCGGGGTAGGGAAGTTCAAGCTGTCACTAGTGTCTGCCGGGGGTAAAACAGACAGGAGAGGTCGACCACAAATAATCCCATTTGATTTGAGGTTGGGGTCATTTAATTTACCTGATATGTCGGAGGAGTCAGCGTCTACATCGAGTGAACAGCTGCCAATGGAGTCTAGACTGCGATCCATGAAAACTTTGTCTGTGAGATAAAGCGTTGAAAATTCGCCAAGTTATTATTTGCAATTCACAAATTTAAAACGTGTGAACTAAAACAACTGATTGTTGACTTCCGGAAGCCATGACTAAGAATTAAGTGGTGACGCCCACGCATTTTATGAGAAATGCAGACTGCGGGCGGTAGCTTTGCCATTTATGGAAAGCAGAACCCCGACCAACCGGCTGCAGCCATGAGACCGACCTTTTTGGGCAGCACAGCGACAAATTGAAGGACTAAATGGATCGGATTTGTTTGCGAATCGAATAATTGGGTGAAATCAGCGTCGAGCTGACATGCTACGTCCCCATCTTATTAGAGCCGAGCTTGTGATTGTGTGAGTGCACAACTCAGCAGATGGGAGCAGCTCTAACGGCACCTTAACAGTTCCGCTTTGTTGGCTTTTCGCCGTTGTTTCGCCTAGTCGCAGTGCCCCGTTCTCTTCTCAGCGTGATCATACATACATTTATACTGGGAACACACTGGCACGACTTGGAGCGTATATTAATACCGAAAGAAAACGCAAAACTATTTATAATCCGGCCGAAAGTGAAAACACCAAGGTGTCGCTGACGCTCAAAATTTAAAGCCAGATAAACTTAACAAAGGGGACGCAGCACGCACACAAACTTCAGTCTATTTTGGTCGCACATCACACAGTAGTGACCGTACGCAGGCAACGTAAAGGGAGTTCCTACCAAAGAAAGGCCAAGTTAAGTCTCCAGTCAAATTGAGTGCCAAATTTCTGGAAATTACAATAAAATAACTTTGGTGACTGTGGCTGTGTGGCCGTGCCCTGGCGGTTTAAAAAAGCCTATATTTTCACAAGATAATTTTTACATTTTCTATTTTTTTGGTATTTCTGACGACACTTACATATGTCAAAAAAGCGACGGCGAGTTTGCGTCGAAAGAGGAACAGTGGAGTTCGGAACGTTGGGTTGCTGTTATTTTGATACTTTGGCAATTATGAAAACTGAAAAAACCAAATATTAAGCTGTTTTAATATGTTTAATTAACTAACAAGGAAAAATGCTATAGACGAGTGTCTCGACTATAAGATGATTCTCATCTTACCGATTTAAAAATAAATAAGCCTCAGCTGATGGTTCATTTCGACAATTTTAGGTGACGTCGATCTGCAGAGCCAACACCACTAGCTGAAAGCATACCCACTTTCTCCCTTTATTTCGCTTATTTTTTAATTTACAGTGATGTCATAATGGTAATGGTGCGATTTGGTAAATTGGTTGTGTGTAGGTACAATATGTTTTTAGACCTGCCTTTTTACCACCATTACCATTTTGAAATAAACTCATTAAAGGTCCATTTTGGTTAGTTGTGTCAATAAAAAGGCAATCTTCAGGAATTATTTTTTGGACAAGAAAAAAACATAGGTACTTCAAACTTTTGAGGTAAATTTCTGATATTTTAAAGATGATTTTGTAAAAATTAAAAAAATTTGAAGCATTTACGGAAGCAGGACACAGGGCGACGCTGGCGACTCTTCTACAGGTCGTAAAAATCATCTGAAACAAAAAATTCAAAAATGTTCGTGTTTAGTAGGAGTGTGGTTATGGAATAGACTACTTTTATCAAAATTGAATAAAAAATAACAAAATGGCGGGGTTTGAAAAATGTTGTGTCGTTTTTACTGAACACTTTCTTCACTTTTTTGTAGATAAAAAATCCAATGTATAAGCTATCTACAGCGACAAACTTAATTATTGGCAGCAACAAGCGACATTTTAATGGGCACGCTGGCCAATCCATGGCTTTGAGTGGCCAGGAAAGCGTAAGGATCGCATAAAAGATAATGTCAACCCCCAGATCTCCTCAACACGTATCAAAGTTAAGGATAAGAATAACTTTGGTAAGGATATTCACCCAACAGCCTTTTTGCAGACGCTGCATGATGGTTTCTACAAACGACTTGCTGCTAGAAAAAATCAATCGATTTTAAAAGTCAAAAACAACCATTTATAATATCGAAATAAAAATCTGAGTATGCCAATCGACTTTTGGGTCCTCTTAGCCTTCTCGTATGATATATTAATCTTTTCCATAAGCAAAAGGCTTGTGTTAGTTGACTTTTCAAATCGATTGATTCTTTTTAGGAGCTAATCGTTTGTGGACAGCATCATGCGGAGCCTTTTAGAAGGCTGTTGGGTGAATATCCTTACCTTGCATTTTGCAACGGCGCGGGCTTTTAAATGCTGCATGGTACGCAATGGTACAAATGGCTTCTGGGCATCCTTTCCCCAATCTTGACATTCGATTTGCCTTGATCCTGCTAATTAAATTTTAATTTTTGGACACATGCGGTTGGTTTAATCTTTACCTTGTAAAGTCAAACAACTTTTCCTTAATTTTAAGGCACTAAAACCATTTATCTATAAAATTAATCATTATAATATAGAATATTGAGGCAAATGGGATAAATAAAAAAGTGGCCAAATCGATAAAGTTTTAATAGTTCATTAAAACCCAAGTGTGCCAATAATTTAGTTCAGGGAAATTTCGTCCATTTTTTAGTTTTTTTATTTTTATTAAATTATCTATAAAAGATAAATTAATGAAGTCACTTGTATTTAACAGTAAATTAATGATTATATCTAAATAAATATCAGCATATTAGATACAAAAAAATAGCCATTAGGTTCAACATGCTTGCTGTGCCAATAATTAAGATCGTCACTGTACATATGTAATTATAGTCCATTCCATCGGCAATTTAATTTCGCGTATTTAAAAAAAAACATTAAGATTCGTTAAAAATTTACTGATTTATGACAGTCTCGAAAACTGTAGTTTCCAGAAAACTCGTTTAAAGTTTTATGTACAGATTTTTCGATATAAATGTTTATATCTAGATACTTACAGCTAATAAGCTATTCCAGGACCATATAGTAGACCCTCGGCTTCCTCAAAACTGATCAGATCTTGGAACCTTTTCGTTTTTTTCGGGCAGTTCTTTCCTCCACCGCCGTGGAAGTCAGTGCACTGACTGATGTGTACATATGTCGGTCGCGAGTGCACGCAAAATTGTGGGCATTTGGGCCGATGGTAATTCCCATGACGCTCATTATTTTAGTCTGATGTTCTAGACTCTTGTAGCTATCGAAAAAAACAAAAAAATTTGATTTTTTTTGACAAAACTAACCAGAATGGACCATTAAAATTTTCCAACCGTATGCTAAAATATGGCAAAACCAAGACGCCGATGAGAAAGAACTGAAAAATATACAATATTTAAATATTTATATCATTCTACTGTCCAATTAAAAAAATATTTTAACACAAGTGTTGTTCGGCCTTAATAAATATTTATGTTATAATGAATATTATTTAAGTTGCACGATTGTTTAGAGGCAGAATTCAAAAATACAACTTAATTTAAGGTAGTAGACCGGTGTGACCGTTGAAACTTCGACGTTTTTCCGTGACCTTTTTTTTAAAGCCTAGTACTCAGATCGACGAAAACTGTCCGCCAAGCATGAGAGAGAGCGAGAGGCAAACAGCTGGCGTTCACTTTTCATCAGGCTCTTGCCGTCTTTACCTCAATACTCAGATCGACGAAAAAATACCAGAAAATTTCATTGCGTTGCTAGTCTGCTGAAATGAACTTTGGGTGAACCTAGCTGATTGACAGTACGACCGTAGCACGCTTAATTCTGATGAACTCTCGAAAATGCAGTCCCACTGGAAAGATTAAAGCCTAGTACTCAGATCGACAAACGAGTACGCCAGCGTAAAAAATTTCGAGAGTTCATCAGAATTAAGCGTGTTACGGTCGTACTGCCAGTCAGCTGGGTTTGTTGACAAGCCGAGGTGAAAAAACCGTTGACAAAAAAATGTACGCCAGCTGTTTGCCTCTCGCTCTCTCTCATGACTGGCGTACAGTTTTCGTCGATCTAAGTACTAGGCTTTTTTTTTATGCTAGCGTACTCGTTTTTCGATCTGAGTACTAGGCTTTTACATTAAAATAAATTGTCAGTAAAAACATTAGAGAATACAAACTTGAAATCATGTATCTTAGGACACGGTAAAATAGTAACGGACTTCCATGTATAATTTTGTAATTTTAAAAAGTCGGATATGCATTTTGGACCAAGCCAGATGTTTTAAAGGCGATACCATTGAATGTAAATAAATCAACAAACATCAATTGTATATCATTAAAGATAAGGGTAGAATCTTGCAGCGTCCAGGATAAAAATGGTCATATTGACCTGTGGGGCACAAAATCTAGGCGACCTACTACGTTTTCATATTTGTTAGAAAATCCACCTGTCATCAATAGATCAGAAAGTGCTGGTTACCACATTATCCTTCAGTTATATTAACTGATGGCAGTTCTAGCAGAGATCATTTTTTGACATCGTCGTCTCCCAATATTTCTGATGCCATTTCCAGTACACTCGTCTGAGTAAAACTGTAATTTTTCATCAATTCTCTGATGCATATTTGAGAGAGCGAAAGAACTGATAGCGGAATCGGGAGTGATGATCTCAGCTTGTGGTGTTTGCATTGCAGTTCGGCAGATGGCGCCAACGATTGTTTGTCGAAATGGGCCATCAGCTGGGGGTATATTTATTTTAAAGTTGGTTATCTAATTAATGGGTATCTAATCTTCATGTTAAGAATCGACAGATAAAAAGATCAAAAAACAAGTTCCCCAGCGGAAAATGTTGTTCTTTCCAGTAAGACAGTATTTTTTACAGTTTAACAGAACTGAGTGTGCTACTGTCTTCAGCTGGATTTGTTGACAAACAGTTTAAATTCAATAACTTATCTGCAATAAAGGGTTGCTTAATATTTCGCTATCTCAAGTAAAGCATGTTAAAAACTTCTTTATTTATGTTTATGTTTTGTTTTAAATCCAGAAGGCGTTTGTCTATTAAGAACATCAGCACTTATACAACCGGAGGATCCCTATCACCCAACTCTAGAACTGACTGTACATAGATGCGAGAACAAAGCTGAATAAAAAATCCGAAAGTCTGTTAAACGAATTCGCTGCTTTCGTAAGACATCCTTTCATCGCTCAAAGACTTTTATATCCGGCTATGACTAGTCCGAATTTTATTCATGCACTAACATGACTGAAGCCGTTAATATCATTATATCATCAACATTAAACTCCTTCTTTTACATGTGTGTTCCATTTTACTATCATTCAATTTTAAATAAACCTCTTTGGTTTAATATGGAGTTGTCACACCTAAAAAATGTTAAGTCCAGACTTTTCAATTAATTTTAAATATGCTGTTCACAATCTGCCTTCTGCTATCTGACTCGTTGTAGGGTGCATTTTTTACAAGATCCAAAACAGTTTTATAATTTTGAAAATTCTACGGCAAATACTGATCAGGCAATTGACAATCTATTTGCCCAGTTCTTCCAGCCAACATATTCTGTTTCAATCTGTCCCAATCCGTCTTATTCATATCCAAGTCAAACATCATTTTTTGTCCGAGGTTAAGCGAAAGCTCCCTTCTCTTGGATCCCCTTAAAGTTAAACCAGTCTATTCACCGGGTCCCGACGGAGTTCCAGGCTGCGTGCTTGGATACTACTGCTGAAACTCTGTGAGACCTCTGCACAAATTGTTTACCTTATCTTTGGAAACTTCTCACTTCCCGTTAATTTGGAAGGATTCATT